GGGCAAAGCGCTTACTTAGGCAGCTGTCCAGGTACTGGAGAGAAGTGGCCTGTATGGCAGCTGTGCTCCTCTGGTTCATGTTTGCTTTTTGTTTGGATTTTCAGCTTTTCTGTTCCTGTAGAAATCAACACCCTTTTTTCTCCCACATATATGCCAGGCCCTTAAATAAAACAAAGAAAGAAATGCATAGGAAACGTGTCAAAGAGCAGAAGCTAAATTACTACCTGGGGCTTCCTCTGTCCTATTTCCAACAGTAAAGAAACCCATTTCTCTTTCAAAGGTGGGACTTGGTATATAAAGTTGCATTGTTTGATTATATTGGTATTTGTAGCAGAAACCAACTATTTTGTGGAAATTGTCATGTTTTGCTTCCTGATGTCTTACTTAATTTTGTACTTTCTATGGCACATACATTTCCTGAAAGGAGAGAAGCCTAGGCAGAAAGGTATTTTTACAGTGAAGTGGAAGGAACACTTAACTGTTTCAACTAAACAGCTCTGTGGTTTTTGTACACCCAGGAGCAGAGTGGTGGGTAATAAATGTGTTTTGTTCTCCACTTTGTATTTGTATTGGCTTTCCTATGTTATTTGATTTGATTCCTTGGTTCTTCTTCTAGGTATAAAACAGTGACAATAACAACATCATCCCTTGGGTGTGAATATAAGTTCATAAATATAAATATCTTCTTAGAAACACCAGGTGCATAACAAATATGAATGTTATTTTATATTGTGTTTGGGGTCTTGAAGATCACCACTATGTTTGGTAATTTGATAGAAGGCTTACAGGACACAGAAAAATTATTGCACTCACAGTTATGGTTAGTACAGCCCAAAGATCCATATTAAAATCAGCAAAGGAAAAAGATGCTCGGAATAGAGTTGAGGAGGCCAGGTGCCAACTTTCAACTATTCTCCCAATAGAGTCAAATGGACAGAACTCAATTCACTTAGCCATGACGATTGACAATACGTTCAAAGTGTCATACCATGGAAACTCTCCTGAACTTTGGTGTTTAGGGTTTTTATTGGGGGCTCGGTCGCAAAGGCATATAGTAGCTGTATAACTGAGCTTAGTTACTCAGTCTTTCTTTAGCCTCCCTCTCCTGCCTAATGTGGCCAAACTGATATGGCATGATCTAAAGCTAGGCATACAAAAAACAGGTGTTTACCATAAATCACATTGTTAGCATAAACTATCTAGCACAGCGTAAAGCCTACATATACAAAGATATTAGGTGGGATATTCCAAGAACCCAGAGGAACCAGTTTAAGGTTAGTCCTGAAGAATTTTGTAATGCTCAGGGTTTAGATAACCCAGGTCTGGTGACTTAACTATTTACTGCATGAAAATGTAAATTTTGCTAATTTGAACAGTCTAATTTACCCATTTTCTCAATGTTTTGAATAATTAGTTTTTAATATATGAACATAATTGACTACTTCATGCGTAACTCTTACAACATTTACTCTGTAATCCAAAAAATAGTTTTAATACATAATATTAATTATGTTATAATCTTAGGAAAGAAATCATTGTTTCAACAAAAAAGGACACATCAGAAACTAAAAATCAGTACTACTGTTGTAATAATGGTGATAAAAGAGTGCTCCACAAATTTGCACTTCAATTCCATGACAAATGATTCATGTATGGTGTTAGTCCTTATCAATAACTGTAAGAGGTGGGCAGTAACTGCAAGAGTATAGGCTAGAGAACAAAGGTCCAGAGAGTTTCAGGAATTCCTCATTTCCCAGCAAGTAAATGGCAGAGCCTAACTTTATCATCTGATTCCAAAGTATGGTCTTAACATCACCCAAAGTAGCTTCTGATAACCTTGACAACAAAGATGTAAAAGGCCTCAGAACCATTAAAAATCAACAAATTTGACTCTATACATGTCTATATATATAGTCTCTAAATAAAGATATAGACTCTATACATGATTATATACAATGATTAGACACTGGGGCAGCATTGTGGCTGGAACACATGTCACTTCTACCAACAGAAGAGATTTCTGCAGATTATAAGAACCCAAGATGTCACTCTCCACAAAAATGTTGTGTGGAAAAGACCAGAGATACAAAAGGGGAAATAATAAGTAGTTGTTTTGAGAGTCTTACGTAAAAAGGAGAAAAGAATTGAAATGCCCTGAAAGGTTTCAAAGTTGCCACAAGGAATTATTCATAATTGTCTTTTTTTTCCTTCCTTCTTATTAGATCTCAGTCTGTGGTAGAAGCTGGAACCCTGAAACATGAGGAGAAGGGAGAGAATGAGAACACTCAGCCACTTCTGGCTCTGGACTGAGTCCTGTATCCCAGCCTTCAGCGCAATCAGCCACCCAGGAAGCACATGTGCAACTGACCCACACAGACATGTGCATTCTGCTTGACACAAGGTCCTCCACTCCTGCCCACAGCAATGACTGTCACCAGCCATCAGTCTGAGCAGCCAAAGTTGGACAAAGATTTGAGAGATGCTTTTTTGTTCTTTTTTGAAAGTGAGGGGATTGGAGGATGAAGCAAAACAATTATTTAAAAAAGATTCTCTATTCTACATATTTATGGTATCAAATGAACGAAAAACATGAAACATGAAAAACTAAATTTGATGCACACACTGCATTTAGGACTAGGATTTTTCTGAGCTAATATGCACAGGGACCCTCTTCAGTTTTTGCAAATTAAGATGAAGTGCATTTTCCAATATATACATCAGAGTTAAACTGAGCAGACTTGATTGTCAAGTTTATTGTAACACAGAGCCCCAAGACAATAGTATCTCCAGTAATTTCCATTCTTATTGAATTATTTTCTGACCTCATCACCAGCATCAAATTGTTCAGCCTAAGAGCATGTTCTCATAGGTCTGGCTGCTTGCAAAGTATTGTTTTGACACACTGCAAAAAGTGATTTTGATGTCATATCTTTTGTCAGGCCACCAGCTGACTTCCATGAGCTGACTTTAAAAGATAATACTTATAATTTGAAATATGACTGTTTCATCTAAGCAATGTGATTTCTCACAGGCATCCTAAGAACCCATTAGTCCAGCATATGTCTGTAAAGAAGATGCATCTCATTGAAAACACAATTCAGTGATTAGTTAATCCATTCAAGTTGGCTCACTCGGGTCACTACAGCAAAGAAAAGTGCTACCAAACCTTTTAGTCTCTCACCTTCCCTCAACCACTGCAGGTATGGAGAAAGGGCCTGGTCACTGCTGACATGATAGACTGTCAGTCATGGGGGAAGGCCCTTAAGGATGGCTCAATATGCAAGTACTGAAATTAAGAGAAGACTAGGAATGCAGGACAAAATGCCAAAGATCTTTTTATTTCTTTATCTGGTCTCATTAGAAATGGACTCCCAATTGCCCATTCAAAGGAAATTAGGTATAAAATAAACAAATATCATACCAAATGATATCCTTATTTGTGTCATGTTTTCCAAGATCAATTATACATTTTTAGATATCTCTTATTTGATTAGCTATCTTTACATAGATATTTATTAGTATAACCAAATTTGGCATTCAACATCAAATAAAAAATACTATAATTGATAATGAGCAGGAAAACAGATTTTATATTTTAAGTATGTGGGAAGGTTAATTTGTTAGCTGAACAATTCACAGGAAAGAGGTGATTGATTTAACTGGCCATCACTTCCAATAGCTATGGTTAATCACAAGTACTTAGGATTAACCATAACTCTTTCTCAATGAATCTACTGTTTGAATTTTTCCTACTGGTAGGGAATAATAGAAGTCATTTCTATATTTCATGCCTGAACACATCAAATTGAGAGAATTACAAATATTTCTTAAACAATTGCACCACAGTATAAATAAACCCAATTTATTTTGTGTAGGCATTTCAAATCATAAAATAATAACTTTGAAATAATTCCATTAATGCAGTGGCTGAAATACTCTTCCTATGTACCAACTGACTTAGGTAAGAGAAAAGAAGAATTAAAGTCAATTAGAAAATCCATTTTATTGCTTGGGTCTATAAAACAGATGTGGGACCCAAGTATCAAAATGCTATTGGAGCTGATGATCGCCACCCCTTGTACCATTCATATTTCTGGCTTTTTAATTGGCAGTATTTAGAATCCTACCCTGTAGTGACCCAATTTTAAACACCACATTATGCTTACAAAGTTAAGAGGTAGTTTTAACTCTTTTCCACAATTTCATTAAATGAATGTAGGGCGATGGTTCAACAATGTGAACTTATGGTTTGAATTCTGTTATGTGTATGCAATATACATAGAACCAAACTCAGTATGTGACATGAATGTTACTACATGAACACCAGATTGTATTGCCCTTTGTCAGTCATTTTCTCTGTTTAATAAATACAGAAGGACAGAAACACCCTTTTAATTTTCAAGAGTTTGTTTTCTTTTGGATTTTGGTAATTACTTTTGACAGTTTTCCTCTCTATATGTTTAGTGGGATTTCTGGAATTGGCAAAACAGAAGGAATAGGACAAACATTTTATAAACTCTTCTTCTAAATGCTGATGTCTTTAAGGTAAAGAAAAAAGGGTCAATTTCAATGTCAAAGAATTACTCTTTAAATGAAATAAAATTTCTTCCTTTTTTCTTAGATGGAAAAGAAAGCACAAGTGTTTTTTTCTATTTGTTCATGAAATTTCATGACCTGTGTGCAATTTCTGCAGCATTTTTGTTCATATTGGCTTAGAATTCAGTGCATGAATATCCATACATTCTTACAGCCAACACTTCCAGTTAGCTTTAATTTTAAAATACAAAGTCAAATGTATTAATATTTTACTAGACTAACAAATTGATCATCTTTGGAATGAATAGGTAAGACTTCTTTCAACTGTTATTTCTATGCTGTGGGTAATATTCAAACCAAATACTAGTATTGGTTGCTATTTCAAAACAATATTTAAAAAGGCAGAAGTTTCTCAAGTCAGGGAGATGGAAGTCTCCCAAACTCTTTCAAAGAGGAGTGCAATCTTGACCCCACACCAAGGACAAAGATCTTAGCATTCCCAGGGACCATCTACCCTCCTCTTCACATACTTACATAACTGTGATGAGAACTGTCTCAAGGAGCAAAGGGCTATCTTCTTGCCACTCAAATGCATCTGCAATAGGCACTGTAGAGTCTCAGGCCCTGTGTCACAGATGTCAAAGCGGCCAGAAGACCCATGCCCTAGTACCTGCCTATTCATCTAATCCCTACCTAGAGAGAATTTTTACTTCCACAAATTTTATAGGCTCCCCACTGAGCCCTAATACTTGGCATTGAAAAAATTTCAATATTATGGCATCATAATATAAAATGATTCCATATCCTTTTGTGTAAAAAAGTTCCTCTTAGAAAGAAATAAGAGTTTGACAGTATCTCTATCATTAGCACAGCAGTAAGAGAAAACACTGGATCTTTAAGATTAAAAAAAGGTAAACAGACTCATGGGTAAGGGTCAGTAGAGTTCATAGATGCTGGCATAACTACATTTTTCTCTTTTATATTCAGAAAATAAAATGGCCTTTTTCACAAGTGTTGCTTACTAAAAAGAATTAACAGAAAAGTTTGCGTTTGCCAGGAAAGTTACTATTAAATGGCTAAAAGAAAAGCATTTACACAGCTTATCATTAAAGGCAACAGAAAAGTAGTGGTACATGATGACAAAATAGGTTAGCTATCTTAGAAAAATATAACTGCATAAAATTACAAACTACAGCAATCCATTTACAGTTTCTACACATACTCTCTTTATATATTGACTGAGACCCTATTCTATGCGGAAAAAATATCTTTGGCTGGCAAGGTAGGAGCAATCAAGTGTTCACCTTAAATATGGCTGTCAGATCAGTGCTGTCACGGGGTGATACACAGCAGGGCGCTTTCTAAATGAAATGCAGCGAGGCATATACTCCCTTTAGTGTCTTCTAACCTAGAAGGAAACTCAGAATTTTTTGGGCTGCAAGTCAAGAGAATTAAGAACCATGGTGTTTTAACTTCTATCTCAACACCCAAAGAGAACCAGAAAGGCAGCCTCTTTTGAGAGTGTCCCAAGTTTGCACGAATTCCTGCTAAATTGCAGGAAGGCTGCGTCTCTGCTGGGATGTCAGCTCAGGGTGCCACACATCCACGATGAATATCAGCCGGAAAGATGAGGCATCCTGCCACACTTCATGCTCAAAGGAGTCATCAAAGATGAGCACCTTGCCTTCTTCCCATGTCCTGGAAGAGAAAAGTATGGGTTTTTGAGTACACCTGTGACTGGTCAGATGCCCGAGGGTCAGTTCTGGATCCAGCTATATTGTAAAAGAGGTTTGTTTAGTCAGGTGAGCATTCAGATGCATGCCCCAGTGGCTTCTGCACAGGATAGCTTCCAGGTACCGACTCCTCAGTCCTTCCTAGTGCTCCTTCTTGACCTTCCAGAAGCTGGTTTAGACCTATGGGCAGTGACTGAGTCTCTGGCACCTCTATGACTCTTAGGACGCTGGGTGAGTGTTTGTACACCTCCAAATGATCTTTTTTCCATTCATTCCATTTGTCCAAGTTCTCTTTTATGGAAGTAATAAGTCTTTACTTAAATTCGGTGTGCATAAAGCAGATAACCAAATTAGGTGTTTCCTAACTAGTATTCTGGCTAAGGAAAATGGGCAGATTGGGAATGAATTTTGTTTATATTTTTAGTATCATCTGCTTTGCAACTGGGTTATCTATAGAGTATTTTAATTCAATGCTACAAACACCCTACAGGACCTCTGGTACTGCCTTGTAAGAGATTTGATCTGTATATACTATCTATCAAAACAAAACAATCCAGGGAGAAAAATGCAGGAGGCAGTTGTGTGATGCCTTTCCAACCCTCCAAAAGCTTATAAGCTGAGCCAATGCTCTTTTCCTTATAAAACAGATATTAATTTAAAGATATATACTAATTGATAATAAAATGCTAAATGCTAAGTTATGCTTTTAAAATAAAATTTTCATCAGAAAATTTTCTTCAGATTTTATTTTTCTCTTCTCCTTTTATTTTATCATTTTTACACTTACTTACATGTGTAGACATTGTTTGTGCTACCTCTCCCTTCCCTCCCCCACAGTGCCCCCCCCACTGCCACCAGGCAGACCTGTTCCACCCTTCTCTGATTTTGTTGAAGAGAAAACATAAGAGGTAGTAAGAAAGATATATTGTTTTTGCTAGTTTGGGATAAAGACAGCTATACAGAGAGATTAAATTCAATTTAAGAATTAAAAAACTTTACATCCTACATTAACAAATAGTGACAATATAGCATAGGAAATTCTAGCTTGATTTCAAGTTACTGTATTATTGTAGGGACATTTTCCTTGGGAAAATGACTGGTGTCTTATGTTTCTTCCTAGATAATTAGTCAATGTAAACTGATTAATACTACACACTGCAGGCCTTATTTCTCAACCCCAGCAGTCAGGACCAGGTATCATTCTCTCTTGTCTTATCCACTAAGATGTCCAGCAGCATCACTGGCCTCTACTCACTGGCAGTGCTATGCCACACACCAGTTGTGACAACAAGAAATGTTTTTAGTCATTGACAAATATCTTGGGGTAGTGGTGATGATGTGTAAGGGGAGGAAAAATCATTCCAGAAGATAACAGCTGACATATTGAAGGGCCCTAAAAATAAACTTTCTAGCTTATTTTAAGTAACTGATAAAGTAATACTTGCAAGTAAAAAGTTCACTGAGGTTGTGAACCAAACCTCTACTTCTGTTACCCACCTATCCATTCCCCAGACTTCATGTTCTCATATCCTGGCCTAATGTCTTGCATTTAGTAAACATGCATTGCATGGCTATTTCACACAGTTCCTCTGAAGGTATAAAGAGTTCCATCCAAGGGTAAGAAAGAATACAAATACAGACTTAGGAGCAAAAGGCAGAATAGGTATTTATTACTATACAAAATCAAACTTGAAAGCAAAAAAAAAGAGCTAAGAAAAGAAATAAACACACCCTTCTCACCACCCCCAAGGAGAAATGATTTATAGCTTAAAGAGTGAGGTGATAATTTTCTAGTGTTGTCAGAAAATTAAGCAATGTCAGTAGATGCCATGGACAAGCCTACTGTACAGGCAGAAGAAAAGGGGGTCAAGCATCCAGAAAGTGGAGCAATCCATTTATTGGCGGATGAATAAATAAACAAAATGTGTTGTAAACATACAATGGAGTATTATTCAGCCTTACAAAGGAAAGAAATTCTGGTATATGCTATGACATGGATAAAATGTGAGGACATTATACTAAAATAAGCCAATCAGAAAAGACATTGTTTGAGTCAATTTACAGAAGCTCTGTCAAATTCATAGAGATAGAAAGTAGAATGGAAGTTGCCAGAGCTTGTTGGGAAGGGCATATTGAGTCAGTGTTTAATGGGTAGAGAGTTCCAGTTTTACAAGATGAAATGAGTTCTGGAGATGGATGGTAGTGATGATTGTATAAAGTGAATGAACTTAGTGTCACTAACATGTATACTTAAAAGGAGTCAAGATGCTCAAATTTATGATATGTGTAGAGCCTCATAATTAAATAAGAAACAAAACCAAGTAAGGCTAAAGAGCAAAGAGAAGTGGAGTAACACAACAGAAAGCTGTGATCTGAAGGGAAGCACAATAAAACCTCTAAGCATTTGGTAGTTACGTGACCTGAGGCAAGTTACTGATGTTCTTTAGTTAACAATGGCCATGTCCTGATAAGCCCATCATAAATTAAAAACATAAATCACAAGTGCATTTAGTACACATAACTTACTGAACACCATAGCTTAGCCTCAACTGTTAAAAATGCTCTGAACACTTGCCTTTAGTTGGACACAATCATCTAACATAAAGCCTAGTTTATACTAATGTATGGAATATCCTATGCAATTTATTAAATAGCTGTGTCCAAATGTTGCTGGCAACACAGTGCATTATAGTTTCTGTGTTCACCTTCATGATCCTGTGGCTGCCTGGGAGTTGAGGCTCACTGCCACTGCCTAACATCACAAGAGAGTATTGTACTGCATATTACTTGCCCAGGAAAAAGTCAAAGTTCAAAACTCAAACTGTGGTTCTACTGAATGTGTATCAATCCTGTATCATTGTAAACTTGTAAAATTTTAAGTTGAGCTATCTTAAGTTGGGGACCATCTGTACTTCACATATTTGAGTCTTTGTATTTTAACCTGCATAGTTGATGTGAGGATTAGCATAGAGTTGGTACATAGTAGAAATTCAATTTATGATAGAGATTACAAAACAAAGGAGAGAATAAAATATTGATAAAGTAGGGAAAAGATAATAAAGTGAAATGTTGGAAAGTGGAATAATATAGCCAAGAATTAACTTGACATAACTCCTTGTTAAGTCTGCCTTCATTTGAGAAAACTGAAAACTTCCAAAGAGATGGGATATGAAAAATCTGGAGAGATTCTGTGAGGTATGCCATGTATGACAAGGAATTGCAAAGCTGTTTGGGTAGGAAAGAACCTAGAAGCTACCTAAAATGCTGCAAATAATAAAAATCGTTAAGTAGAAAATTCTAAGTTGCACAAAATGACACTTTTTATATTTGGTGCTTTATAGAACCAAAGATTTAGGAATGTTTGAAAACCTTAAGCATTCCTTCCATTCATTAAGTTAAATTCTTTGTGATTTAGGAAAACCATTTAGCACTGAATACCTTGGTCCTCACAGAACATGTAAGAAGAGAACTTAAGGATCACTGACTTGTGACTTTTTAGACAAAGTAAGTCCAATATGGATTAGTTCAAACCATTAACCAGTTTTTAAGTCAGGGAGCTAATTTAAGGGTTGTGGCAGGAGTTAAAAACCAGCATGGGCAGCATAGTGAATCTGAGGTCAGCTGGGCTACACAGGGAGACCCTGTCACAAACAAAACAAAACTCTATGGGGAAGTGTGTCCTGTTGGACTTATATTGTCCTGAATTTTCTTTTCTTTTATATATTTTCCATAGAAATCAGCTACGATAATTAATTACTTAATGTAGATTCCTTCTGAATACTTAACAACCACGATTAAATTAAAAGGGGGAAAAGGAAGGACAATAAAACCTGATCTAAGCTGTGTTCTGATCAAAGTGACTTCAGAGTTCAACTATACATCTATCACCTGCCTGGGAAAGGAGGAGTGCTTCACACAACAAAAAAAAGATAGGCATAAAGGTGTCAAAGGATGGTAGATTTCTTCTAAATGGAAAGAAAGAATTTTCAGGTCACTTCCTTTATGAGAAAAGCTCCACTAAATAGGATCAAATTGCCATCAAACTGTGATACGGGCAGAGCTGAAAGACAGCAGAGCAGATACAGGTGACCTGAGACGATTCTTCCAGGAAGGGGCCCATAAGAACAGGCTTGGATGGAGGGTGCTGGATGGCTACTTTGACTTATTGCTACAATGAGTTACTATTAAGGAAAAACGCTTTCCCTTGTTTGCTAAAAGATATAGGAATCTATATCATTAACACAAGATAAAGCAGTATTACATAATCCCTCAGTTTCTCAAATTATTATTAACAATAATGATATAATGGCAGCAGGGCATACTTAATAGTTACAATTCTGTCATAGAATTACCACCAATATTAGTAAGGCTCAGTAATGACTAGGTGCTTACAGAATCTTCCACCTAAAAATTCTATAGGTAAATCTCAGGGAGCTTTGCTAAAAGGTTCTGCAGTGGGGAAATGGCATGGAAATCTCATGGAGACAAGGCCAGCTCTCTCAGGGATTGTCTGTCTCAGCCTAACACTTTAGCTCAAGATCATGGTCCTAGGGGATATTCTTAGTGCCTGTGGATGCCATGCTGAGCAGGCCTACAAGGCACTTAGACAGACTAAGTAGAACACAGGTCAGGAACTCAGGAATAAGAAAACTTAACACAGCTCTTCTAATTCTGATCTGCAGAAGTTCCCCAGTTATGACTCCATTGGAAACCTAGCACACACTAATTGAAATGTATAACTGCATTGTCACTTCATCTTCCCTGTCTCTCCTTCTAATACACATTGATGTGTAGTTTTTGAAAGCTAGGAAATTTGTTGTAGCTTCTTGTTATGACAGCTGCTAACCAACCATTTGGCAACCATGTGGCAAAGTACTTCACCTAGGAGTCTCAGTTTCCCCATCAGCATAATATTTGGAGGTAGTAAGATGGCCTCTAGGGCTACTTTCAGTACTAAAATTCACT